CGCCCATATTCTTTGAGCCGCCTTACTCATCGAACCCATACCGGTTTTCCAACACAGAGATACTATAGAAGATATAAATTTGGAACAAGTTGAAGCATTTCTTTCGGAAAAGGAAAACAGGGATCGAGAATTTTCTTTGGAACTCAGAGAAAAAGGGATTATCACAGCTCCTGGAAAACCATTTATCTTATCGCGTAGAAAAGAAATGAATGGATTAATGGTGCGGGGAGTCTATGAACTTGTATGTCGAGACGATAAAGAGCTTCGCGATAGACGAATCTTTGGTTCTAGGATGGTTGATGAAGTGAAGGGTAAGGAAACTTCAATGCCATACGAGAAGTCACGTTTAGTAATTCAAGCGTATAATGATCATGGCAAGAAGGAAATTTTGACCCAATCACCAACAATCCAACGGGTGAGCCAGCGTATAATTGTGGCATTGGCTCCTTCACTATCCCCATGTGGTATCTCACTTTTTCTGCGAGATATCACCCAAGCCTATGTACAATCAAAGACTAAGCTTGTACGCCCCATTTACGCAACTCCTCCTAAGCAAATGCGCGATGAATTTCGTCCGCAAGACATTCTAAAGATCCTTAAGCCTCTATATGGAATCCCAGAATCAGGAACCCACTGGTATGGCACCTACCACAGCCATCATCAAACCAAACTAGAGATGAAAAATTCAACATATGATCCATGTCTTCTAGTAACTGAGAATCAGCAAGGGCCGTTTGGTGTTGTAGGCATGCAAACCGATGACACCCTCATCCTAGGAGATGAGAAATTCGTTAAGAAAGAGGGCCTTGAACTTGAGAAAGCAGAATTGCTCGCCAAGCCTATCGAGAAGCTAACGCATGATAATCCACTGATGTTTAATGGTTGTAAATTAGTGATTGATAAAAATGGAGATGGCCTCAATCTTACTCAGAAAGGACAAGGAAAACGTCTTCATCAAATTAACCCCAACTCAGACGACTTCAAAGAGACCTACCTTAAACAGAGAGCTCGTGGCGCTTATATTGCTAGCATTTGCCAACCAGAAGCTGCTTTTGATTGTTCGATAGCCGCACAACATCAAAATCCCGGAAAAGAAGACGTCAAAGCTCTCAACAAGCGCCTTGAATGGCAGATGAAGAATCTAGACCGTGGACTCCACTACATACCTCTGGATTTGGAGTCTGCTAAGATTTTTGTTTTTGTCGACGGTTCTTTTGCCAACAACCATGACCTAAGCTCTCAAATTGGTTATGTGATCGTTCTGGGAAATGAAGCTCTGGGAATAGGGAAATTCAGACTACAGGCCAACATTCTACACTGGAGCTCTACTAAATGCAAGAGGGTTACCCGTGCTGTACTAGCTTCGGAGTTGTACGGGATGGTAGCAGGAATTGATATGGCCATTTCGATTTCGACTACTTTAAATATGATTACCAAGCAGCTGAATATAAACCAAATCCCAGTTGTCATCTGTACTGATTCATTCTTATTATACGAATGCATGGTCAAATTAGGCACCACAAAGGAAAAGAGGTTGATGATCGATATCATGGCCATCCGGCAGTCATATGAGCGGCGAGAACTATCAGAAATTCGTTGGATTACAGGAGATAGTAATCCTGCTGACTCTATGACAAAGTCAACTTCTAATGGTGCTTTGAAAAATCTCGTGAGTACAAATAATATTGATGTTAAAGTTCAGGGCTGGGTCCAACGTGAAGCGTCAACGAGGTTGAATAACTGAAAAAAAAAAAAAAAAGTTTGCCAGTGTCGGTTCACAGGTGAATGGCGTATGGATAAAGGGCTTGTATTAAACATTTACTTCCAAAAGTATTGGTCAGCGCATCACGTGATATAATCAGGGCGCTAAGCTTCATTTTGTACTTTAGATATTAATGCTTGAGGAGGGATACAGAAGAGAGATAGACAGAATATATCACTTGTTTTTAGCACTTTTAAGGCATTAAACCAAGTGAACCCCGTTGTACCAACAACATCTCTCCCATTTTTCCTCATAGGCGTTAGTTTCTACATCGGATACTGACACAGAAAATCCTAAGTTTATCGTCCTGCGACAATTACCCGTCGTAAGCATTGTTGGGAGGGAGAGTCGTGTTGTGGCTATTTTGGCATTAGATAGGGGCTTCAAAATTGTTTAGTATACCGGTGGGGAGTGCGCTATTCAGCTTAACCTAGTATCTTCTTGTATGGCCTCGATTATTTTCTTCGTGATTTGTGTAGTCGAAAAATCTTTGTAATCCGGGAGTTCCGACCAAATGCTGCCCAACTTTGCTCCTGATGAGAATCTCGTTCAAAATAGCATCGCTTCCACCGTTGGAGGATGACTAAAATTGGCTCTCGGAGAATATTCGACTTCCAGGTTTGTAGAAGGCCTCGTGGACAGGTGTCTATTTTTTGCCCATTTTCTCAAAAAAAAAATTTGCTTGAACCAACTACTATCCAACTATCTAAGTGCAGTTCGAGGAGGACGAAGGCTGAACACCTGTCAGTGGTGTCCTCTACGAATCTGGGAGTGAAATATTTTCCCAGAGCCGAGAGTCAGTAACGATATAGGGTGGATTTGAGGGTTTTCGTCGAGTTGGCGATCGGAAGGAGTGGTGTTGGATAATTTTTGGTCGAAAATCCAACTTGCAGAGATTTCTCGACTGCACGACTCAACGAAATCAACCATCTACACCCCAGATACGAACTGCAGACAGGCTCAGACCTATCTGATGTTCGTATGACAATAGCCGACAGCTTCAACATCTTATTTTCTATTTCTCTGGAAATTCATTCTCAGCCAAAATCATCTCGCGGCCCTCTCCACAATCATCTCACCACCTCCCAAAGGCAAATCGCCAACAAATGAGCTAGAGGATGTCAGACCCTCTGCAATTGCCAGTCGCTGTGAAGGTACGGTTGAAATACCGGCCTTAGATGTATCCTCACCTCGGCCAAGGGCACCAACAACTCGACCTGCGACGAATCGCCACCAACAAAATACGTACGATATTTCGCCGGCACATCAACTAGAGCGTTCGACAAAGGCTGGGGCACCGGTGCCTGGGTCTTGAGCTCTCAGTCGCGTTTTCGACCTCCACGGTTAGGGGTACGGCTTTCATGGATAAGCAGTAGGGTATAATTAATTTGTTTTATTTCCGACGCAGTCTATATGAAGGTAGGCTATTAGGGTAGTGCTTGATCTTGGTAAGCTAGTGAGTAGGTGTGGATGCAAGAGTCTAGAAAGGTAAAGGTGGTCTGGTGGTAAACAAGTAGTCACCACATCGTCTCCTATGCAGAAGCGCTAGTGGTAATGTCCTGTATATAGTCTGGTAGGCGTGGGAGAGTTCTCTCTTCACGCAACGTCTTCTTACATTCTGTACACATTCTGTACACATTCTGTACACATATTTTACCACCTCACATCTCTCTTCCTTACAGAAGACCATTTCACTGCTATCCTATAATCATATTCAATATCCCTTCGTGCCCTACGGAACGTTAGTAGTAAGCTCCCTGAGAACGGCAGCGACGGGGCAAGGCTGGAGAGGTGGATATTCTACAAAGTTTCTAGGATGGCCAGATCGGCTGAAGGATAGAGGGATATTGTATGAAGGAACCAAAATGGAACACAAACTGAGGAGGCCTCCAGTGAAGAAAACGACCCCTAGATGAGATAAGGAGATGCTAAGATGAGCTAAAACTGAGAATGAATCGAAGGGAAAAGTCACAGATTACGAAGGTGTCATGGGCTCGGGCGCGTGGTGGCCGAGACTGAGGAGGAAATTCCGCTTCGGCGCGCCAAAAGGGGGTTCTCTGGACGGTTGGTCTTGACATGATTCAACACATGGGTGAAGTCTGAGGTGGTCCGGTCATTCAAGTGGGACGAGGTAGATGTACTTAACGGTGGTTACCCTGATCCGGTCCGGCCCCACCCGTGCTTTAGCTCCATTAGGAGTGCAACGGGGATCACTATACCCAGCATGTAAATGAACAAAACAAATCAAATAGGTGCAATTCGAGCTCTCAGATGGTAGCTTGTAGATAGTTCTGTAAAAGTGACTGTGGTCGTATGGTGCGGGGGTATGTAATCTTGCTCGGTTTCCCGAGTAATTCTAATAGGCTTGCACACAATTCGCTTGAAAGGTGTCAGGTAACTGGGACTCTAACCTGTTGCAGGCGAAGTGTATGTAATTAAAGTAGAAGATAACTCGGTAGAAACAACTTAATTCCTATTTCTCCTGGGATTCTAGGACTATATACACTGATCATGATTGACTTGATCTCTTGATCTCCAAATATAGAAATGCGCTAGGAATAGAACAACCTGCGGTTCTGAATTCAGAATGCAAGCACTAACCGAAGCAAACAACCCACGTACGTATGAACAGTCCCTATTTGTGACTCGAGACATTTCCCTGTCCAACTTCTTCGGTGGTTATTCTTAGCCTTCAACATAAGGGAAATTGTCGGTTCGTGTTAAGCAAAACTTGATCACATTCGCTTTATTGTTAGTTTGTACTGATGATAAGGGTGTTCTGATATAGACATAGGGTTTGGAAATATGCTTTAGAGGTACTCAAAGAGGGTAGACTGTCCTATGGAGTTACAGTGGGAAAGTTTATTTTCAAACGATATCCAGAGCTTGAGTGTCCCAAAATTTATAAGTCAACATATATGTACGTCAAGTTACATACAAATATCGTTATCAAATGGCTAAAAATTTGAATTGAATTACCGTTAGGAGAAATTAACTAGTTTGTGTCAAACAAGCTTTGACATAAAATGTGAAGCATGACTAGAAAAAGTTTATTTAGATTTGGATTAATTGATAAACATGTTAGAACATTGGCAGGCAAACGGGAGTCAATTTTGGAACTTAGATATTAGGAGTGTAAGTGTGATGGATTATCAATGTGATCCGTAGATTATCTATTGTAATCAATTACAAAAGCATGGCTTAGTACCCTCCTCAACTCCCGTAACTCTTTTACACCCTACTTAAGAGGGATAAAACGCGAAGAATGTGTTGCTCCGATACCAGGTCTTCCGTGCTTAACAGGCCGGCTATTTCTAAGTTAGAATGACCCATATCATTCCAGAATCACCTACTATGAGATGGAGAATTCTCCGAGGTAGTGGCCAACCATTTCTGGTTTGATATCGACTTGATTGAACTCTTTACCAGAATAAACTCCAATGACAGAACCAATCATTTCAGGGACAACAATCATATCTCGTAAGTGCGTCTTTACAAGGCTGGGTTTTTCATTTGGCTTGGCTTCATGCTTAGCCTTACGAAGTTTCTTGACAAGACCCATAGGTTTGCGCTTCAGACCCCTGTTGAAGCGACGACGGGCACGCGCGTGAACAACATCCCGTAGTTGATCGGAGGAGAGGTCTAGGAGTCTGTTTGCGTTGAATAGAGGGTTAGCGAATGCTCCCCTTTGAATTCAAAAAATCTGCGCGAAGGTTGTTTCATACTGTTCGAGATCTATTCCGCGGTATGAAAACTTCTTGAAGGCTCTCTTCTTCTTTAGCTCAGCGGCTTGGATAGGATCCTTTTTTAGAGGTTAGCTATTGGTCATGTTGAAGCCGCTTCACAGAGTAGAGTCGTTGTTAGTAGAGAGCGAGTATATCTTACGTATTCATCAGCCATCTTCGAAAAAATGTGATTGATGATGTCTATAACCGCTGGTTACTTTGTTTGTGTTGGCTTCTATTGTGGGAATTGCTAGGCGAAGTGACTCACACGTATACTTGAAGTTAGTCACTAGCGTGGGACTAAGCGAGAACAATTGGTAATTTAAGAATTCCACACTTCACGTATCAAGCAAACAACGAAATAAATTGCACGTGAAGCATCACTCATCTAACGTCGCAGGGTGCCTCGTGGGGCGATAAATCCCAAACTTCAAGTATATCATTTCACTTGATGAGTGATAATTTCTGGGAATTTTTTGCCTCGCCCAAACCAATGGTGACACATGTAAACACTCAATCAATGAAGTTCTTTTGTTACATGAGGACACGGAGTCCCCGGGTGAATTGTGTTCGTATCGTGTTTGGGAACTATCTAATTAATTGCAAGTCACGTGAGAGTGTCCAAAGATCAATGAACCAGCAACAGTTCGTAATGCTTTTGTTTCGCTCGGTTTAGATTTTTTTCAATCCTCTACATCTTTGATATGTCACTCGGCATGAGAAATAGTGAAAAAAAATTGAGAATTATCAGGAGGGTATACGTTTTATTTAAATATATCTCGCCGTTCAGGAGATCATTTTTAATCAAAAAGCCCGAAACCCATGTCTTCGTCAGACTCTTCTTTCTCTTTATATCACGTTAGCAGATAAAGTATTATTGTTCAAATTTGCTTACCTTCTTCTTTTTCTTCCTCCTTAGCCTCAGGAGCTGCGTCACCAGAAACTGCTCCAGTGGCAGCTACAGCAGAACCAGCACCACCTGAAGGCACGGATGCGAGCTTTGCACTTCCTTCAGCGATCAACTTTAGATAGTTAGTAGCAATTTATCTTCTTCCGCAAATTAGCTTACTTCGTTGATATCTTTGTCCTTCAATTCTGAGATTAGCTTAGTGAGACGTTCACTGTCAGCCTCAATTCCAATAGATCCTAGAACATTCTTGATATCGCTCTCGGATGGAGACGAGTTTCCACCGAGAGTAAGGAGAAGGTATGCAGCGAGGTGCTTCATTTTATTGCTTGTCATAGTCAGTAGAGGTCCTTTAATAAATTTGGAGAATTATTTACGTTTTTGAGAACAGCAGGATCAATCAATTTAACCGCGATAGTTTGGCGGAGACTGAAACGTGAAGTTCGGAGGGATGTGGTTAACGTTCGATGATGGTGGAATATATTATCGTAGCATTTCAGAATTTTGACCTGTATTGGCATAAGCGAGTGTGTGTTAACACTTGTCCTGAATGGGACTAGTGCTCCTTGATAACAGTAGCCATAGATATAGAGGTCCGAATCCTCGGGCAGGACGTTGTTAAAGTAATCGAGTTAGGTTTGTGTGTTTATCGCACTACTTGTGTCTCAGGCTATCTATAACATTGGTCTCCTTTCTGACTTAGGCTACATCTTGTACAGTACTCCTTGCCTCTCATGTTACTCGAAAGATCATTGATATATTGCCCGTGATGAATAGCTGTTCAGATCAGTGTTTACCTGTAGAATTCGGCCACCTTTTTCCACGGAATCTTCTACCTAAAAAAACAAAAACTGGTAGCAAGGGAAACTGCGTGCACGGGAAAAAGCCTCAAAATCCTGCAGCCCCAGGCAGGCGAGGCCTAGACACCGGGACCACAGGAGGTGTGCATATTCATCTACATCCCCCTTCTTTGTAGCAGTTGAAATCGACTTGATCCAACCCGCCATCTGCGTATCGGGTGCTGAGTACGCTCCGGAAACTCATCGGATGGCATTTCCTCCATGATCAATGGTTGGTGATGAATAGGGCTCCGACCCTACCATCTGATCTGATCGTGGTTAGCTTCATAATAAAAGTGATAGGGGAATGTGTTGAGAGATGAAGACGATACAGACCGCGAATACGATTGGGAATCCTCATGGGAGTAAGGACCTTGTTACTCAATCTCGGCTCTGCAGACTCTACAATGAGAGTTGGAGGTTCGTAGGGGACACCACTGACAGGTATTGGGAATAGTCCCCCTCAAATGACTTCGAATATTACTACAACGGCTTGTGAAAGTCATGGTGTTGCCGTATAAATTTTATAATTTTCATGTTCTTGTTCCCTTGAATTGCTCATCTTAATCATAATCAGTCCTTGGAGAGGATAACAAGACTGAATACTTGTATGCTGTCCTCTACGAACCTAGGACAAAAATATTCTTCTAGAGCCAAATTCAGTCAAATCTCGCAGTACCAAAGGAGTTGATCTACGAGGCAATGATTCAAAATAATCTACAACGACAAATTATCACCCTCGAGACGGAATTCTGCCGAAGTCTCATCGAGTCTACAACTACGACCAATTTCATCCTCATTTCAATGACCACACCTCTCGTCGACTTTTCTCTGGCCCCAGCTGTCCACCAAATACACGCCCGCGCCGATACTTATATCCGACTGAGGAATCAAAGCGTGGTGCACAAATCTGGGAGATAGTTCTTTGAGATGGACGTGAGAGGGATCAGGACAAGTTCACAAGGTGATGCAAAGGAAGGATTTAACTTTGAAGAGCGTGAAATACTGAATTTTGGCAAGTTGTATTACGAATTGAGCTTTGTGCGCGCCAAGACCTTGCTTGTGAGAGTGCAGCTGCACTATGAACATAAGTCAACGATAGAAGGTACCGTGGTCTGCCTCCTAGTCATGCTATCTGGTATGGTTTGAGTTATCTGGACATCTAATCTACTTAGGAAGATGAGCCCTCCGACTATATTTTGCATGGAGACAAGTTAATTGATGATGGAGTCATATATCGATAATTAAGTGATTTTGAGACGTTTCTCTGGGTTAGTATTCACGAATGAAAGTGTACTTGGGGTGAAGAAAAAGCCACCATAACTTCGCAGCGATACTTGGAAATGAAATCCGAGGCATGAGTGCTCTTCTATTTGATTGGAGTATTTATTTTCTACTTCTCCCTGACATTGTGATGTAGCAAGATAGATGCATATACAATTAAAATCCGATATAAAAAAAGTAATTCGGGATCAACTGCCCATATGATACAAAATAAGACGTAGGGCTTGTGCCTTGAAAGTCCAAGCCACAATCAGTCAAAAGTATCATAGTAGACATTAGACCTTATTAGAATGGGCTTTTTTGATGACTAACGGGCTCGCGTAGCCCTTCTTAAGAAAGATACGTGGGACACGGTATTGATTTGTAAACGTTGACCAGGGAGCCCCACTGCTATTGATGAAGTCTATGTACTAGTTGCCAGGTCATGTGATCTGACTAGCTAAGTTTATACGAGTAGGTGGAATAGTTCGCCTTGACAGCCTTGAAGAATAGAAATAGTTTGATAAAGGTTTGGGAATAATAGTTAAGGACTCTTGAGCTCAAAAATTTGGCACTAAGACATCACTGCATTCTTCAAAGTACAAAAAGTAAAACGTAAGGGCTCAAATTAATTTGCTTGAGGAATTCCATCAAAATATTTAGTATATAAATATATCAGGATTGTGTCATATATTATAATAACTTGGGCAATCAAGTAGGCCAATTTGTTGACGCTAGAATGAATACAGATTATGTACTTATTTTAATGTGGGATGATGAATGAATTCGCTCTTAGGCCTCATGACTGAGGGTTCGTCATTTCCTTTGTATTTTTTGGTAGGGTCTCTAATCAACTGGTCGTATCATTAGCTTACGGGTGACCTTCGTTGACCAAACTGCCCTTCTAGATGAGATTCATTAGTTTATTCGTCGTGGATTGGAACAATCGTCGTATCAAATGTAGTGTAAACGGCCGAGAGGAATGGAGGTTCTCAGAGACCCTTTTTGATCTGCTGGCACTAGTCTAGGACTCGTATGTAATTTAATTGCTAAGCGGCCACGTTAGAGATCATGCGACACCTTTATAAAATTAACCTACCCTGAAGGTGATCTGCTATTTTCTACTCCTTTTCTTCCAATTTTCCTCTATCTACACGTACTATTGTGGCGCCAATTCAGGAGAATGAAATTTAATCAAGTCACCTTTAAGAAAATTTAGGTATTGCAATAGGTTCTTTGTCATGTTGCTTCTTCCTTCACTTTGTCCGGTTTCTCGGGGGCAGTATCGATGAATTCGGGTAATTCATCAACCATGAAGCTTGGTGTCGTTTGTATGTCGAGACTTTCATATTCCATTTCTCCCTCTAGTGCTTCTAACTCGGCATCTAATTCAGCCTCATCTACATCTTCAGGGATGTCATAGCTCCTGCTTATGCTCTCTTGTATTTCATTCCCGACCTCCATCAAATCTGCCATTTCATCCTGCATCTGTTCAATTTTGTTGATGTTAATCTTTCCGTACTGTTGCTTGAGTGATCTGTTAGTCTGTTTGAGGGCATCTACAGTAGTCATAACATTTTTAAGATTATCCTGCATCATTCCAGCCTGCTCCATGTTCCATAACTGTTGCTGAAGCTGATCTCGTTGGCCCTCATACATCTTTCGTCGTTGTAGAACTTTTAAAGCTTTTTGTTTGATTGCAGTTTTTCCCGGACCGTCGCGCATTTTAGAGAGTTTCGTTTGATAGGCTGTCAATTCGGCATTAATAGCAGCGAGCTTAACGTCTATCGAGGACACCCTTCCATCCAACTTTTTTGTTAGATGTAAACGATAAGAAAGATTCCACTCACATTTGTGATTGCGGAGTCGAGAGTGGGTTTGGGAGCTGAGCTTTTAGCCCCAAATAATCGATTCATCACGCCTATTTTACTGCGTAATTAATTTTTTATAGAAACTTGAATGATATATGCTCTTATCTGGTTAGTAGAAGTGTCGATCCTTGGTTCTCCCTTTTCACTTTTTTGGGATGATGAGCAGTGCAAAAGATTTTTTACTGTAGATTTGTGTGTGTAAAACTTAATTGACAACAAAAAATTGAAATGATGTTGTTTTGTTGTATGATACTTAGTTGCGGACTGGATGTGAAACGCATTACCATTGGCTCATGAGGTGGGGTACAAATAAGGAAGTAAATACTCAGTCGCTTAACCATCACGCTAGGGTAACAAAAACTACACCTGTCACAGGTATACAGTGTGTGCCTTCAGCAATAATGATAAAGACGGCAAGGCCAAAATTGAACAACATCTTTCAACTTCGGGCTGATTTTTCTCCTCATATCATAGAGTTACGCTTCCGATTTCTGTTGGGAGAATCTAGGCTTGATTTCCTATTCAAGATTAGTGCTGTTATTGTAGAACAAGATATGCTAGAACCCTGTGGATAATAAATTTGTAGCCTTTTTAGACATCACTGTAATTCAAACGTTGACCCGTTTCACCATTTAGTACATGCACCGTTTCACAAATAAAGAATTATCTACGATGATCAAGATGACAAAAGTGGCTCTGACAAAGAGAAATGACATTGTGATGCCAAACGCTATAACGGTAGTCAGACACGCCCTCTTTATATCATAATGTGTACTATCCGACGATGGATAAATAAAAACACAGAAGAAAAATTTAATACCCTTCCGCCCTCAAGGCTCGTCTAAATAAATTGTCTCTTCAACTTTTAAACCCCAAAGCTACTGGCCAGCAAGCCATCGAAAATGGACGAGTTTCTCGAAAACCTGAAGTTCATTATAAGTAATGGATGCTAGGCCACGCTACTTCACAGCGGTCACTCCTAATCAGGACCTATCTAAGATACTATCATGACGTTCGTTTTGCCCGATAGCATGGACCAGGGAGTAATCAAGAGGCTAGGAAGGGAGAGAAGCGCACTTAGGTATACACTGGTCTGCTGCGCCCGACTGGCCGGCCTCTTCTAACGCCCCAAAAGGGTAGCTATGTCTTCGGATCTAGTCCTCATATCGGTGTCAGAGGGTCCTTGTCAGAGCTGCATGCAGACAGCGGATCAAAGACAAAGTTCAAGGTTAGTGTATTCAGGCTGGATGTTGCCATCCTAAATTTTGCAAAATATAGGTGCAAAATCACTAGGCCTAAAGGCCAGAGCAGATGCATCGAACGCTGTGTCCTGGCTACTTCAACACATATGGATTATACAAAAGGCAATTCCGACAAGCCCGACATGTTGGAAATCTAGACTCAGTATATCTGAAGGTTTAGATTTCTAACTATGATCATCAAGATCAATTCAATTGATCCGATTGCATATGGTTAAGCTTAGCTGGGCGACATGAGGTTCAATGGTATCTGAAATGCAGTGGCTAGAAAATGCTACCTTGCGATAATTAAGTGGCTGGTTGTTGCTAGATCACTTGGAGTTTGAGATCGCTAAAGCCTCGGGGATCTGTATTCGAGGATAGACTTTTTTTTTTTATCATTTAAGTGTATACAGCTATGGAGCTATGACACACGACCCGTGCTATGTGTACATGTTGGAAGACTCTTTTGATGTTGGAGACACTCATACTCTGGATTTTCTTCGCAAATACCACTATGAGGTATGCTTGCTTACACAAACAGTCGACCCTCCTCCGCAAGTACCCACCAAAGGGACGTTTCAAAACCTTTGGTTATCCAAGCATGCCTTCGTCACCCATGTATACCAGCATCACGAGAAATGTTGTTATCTTTTGCCGGATTTGAACCAGCGATGTACTGTCTCGAGTGGGATATGTGGCCAAGCCATCCAGACTCTACTTGGCAGACCGGCCAAGACGATGTACCACCGCACCATCCAACCATTGCGCTTTTTACAGTATCGCCCGCACTCTCGCAATCAAAATCTTGGCGCGCATAAAGTTCCATATTTAAAACCAAATTTCGAATTTTAGAATTTCACGCCCGTCGAGAGTGTATTCACTGTCTGAATCATCTTACGAACTTGTCCTGATTTCTCTAACGCACATCCCAAACAACTGCCTGCCAAATTTATGCGCCACGCTTTGTGTCCTCCGTCGGGTATAAGTATCGGCGTGTATTTGGTGGCCAGCTGAGATCAGAAAGTAGTCGATACGAGGTGTGATCATTGAAGTGTAGATGTATTTGGTCTTATTTGTAAACTTTGTGAGGCTCTGTGTTATGGCCTGAATAATTTATCCTGAGGCAGAGATACTAAACGAGCCATCCGACTACCCAACACTAGCGACCGAGATCAACTATAATATCGGAGGGCAAGACTGAACACCTGTACGCGGTGTCCTCTACGAACCTGGGAGTGATATATTCTCCCAGAGCCAAGTTCAGTCAAATTTCGCACTATCAAAGAAGTTGCCCACGAGGTTAGAATCCAAATTACTCCTCCACGTCTTTTTTTCGCTCCCGACGAGTTTGACTTCTACCTAAATCTCATCAAGTCTACAAGTACGACCAAGTACATCCTCATCCCAATGACCACACCTCTCCGACCTTCTCTGGTCTCAGTCGACCACCAAATACACGCCCACGCTGATATTTATACCCGATGGAGGAAGCAAAGCGTGGCGCACAAATCTGGGAGACAGTTCTTTGGGACGGACGTGAGAGGAGTTAGGACAAGTTGATAAGATGATGCAAAGGATGGATACATTCTCGACGGGCGTAAAATTTCGAACTTTGGCAAAGAGTTTTTACAGATTGAGCTTTGTGCGCGCCAAGACTTCGCTTGCGAGAGTGCAGCTGACACTATAAAAACAAGCAAACGATGGAAAGTGCCGTGGTCCGCCTTCTGGTGGTGTTCTCCGGTATAGTCTGAGTAGCCTGGGCACCTACTCCACTTGGGAAGGAGACGCCTGAGACCATATTTCGCGCGGAGAAAAGTTGAAAGGTGATGGAGGCATGTCTGGATAACTCAGGGTTTTTGAGACGTTCCCCTGGGTGGGTATTCACGGATGAGGGTTGACTTGGGGTGAAGAAATAGCCGCCATAACTTCGCAGTGGTACCTGCAAATGAAATCCGAGGCATGAGTGCTCCTCTTGTAAATTGAGTCATCTTTTCTGTACTTTTCTTTGATATTGTGTCATAGCTAGATAGCTGCACACGCAAATCAAATCAAATCATCTCCAAGACCGGCATGCGGAAAGTAGTAATCTTCTGCGTAACGAAAAGTATACTTGGATAGATAATTAATATAAGCTCTCGGAAATGATTGAGACTTAAGGATCTAGGAATCGTCCGCATATTATTTCGTATATTAACTATCTGAGGATATTAACAATCTAATTCAGATACCCTCATGCGTTAGACAGTTCAAGGAAGAGTCGGAGATTGTATTGAGGATATTCAGTAATTGAACATGGGCGTGATAGCATTGATGATCAGTGGATGGAATCATTTGATTGTCTATTGTTCTGTGCTATTCTCTACCTAATGTCTCCATATTACCACGTCTAAATGCCAAGACACTAACGCCACGTATTCCTTTTCTAGCCCCTGCGTCACCATGGATGTCTGTAAAAAACATCTACAAAGCAAACCGTAACAGAGTGATTCATCCGATTATAAGAAGCGGAAGAAATGGCTTATCCAGAACTTCAGCTTCGCAATTTGTATTACTCCCTTTTTCACGATTACAGTCTTCTTAAGTATTTTGTTGCCACTCTCACTATTAAATTCTACTTCCCCACAAGTTTCCAATCTCCATCGTGAACCTCGCTCCTCACTTATTAATTTAAGGACGAGGAGCTCTACCCTTCAGGAACCACGCCGTAACACTCTGATAGGAATAGACCTTATTTGGAAGAGGGACTCAGAGGACTACCTCGTAAGCTAACTCCTTCGAATTTACGAAATTTAAATTTTCTTCATTCTTGAGTACCATTTCACTCAGAGATTTGTGGTGGAGACAGCGAAATAATTTTCAGTCCATGGTCTCATTCATCTGCGAGAGATGGAGCTAGATAGTATTCAGTATGTCCATCCATTCGATTGGGTATGCCGATCACGTGATATAAATTTTATTTCTGGAATTCCAAGTATGATTGGTCACCCATGCCTTTCGTAAACAATTTTTGACCTTTGAATTAAGTGCACGCAACGTTGGCTTGCAAAACATTAAGCACGAAACATTGAAGGTCATTTTACAAACTGTTTGTATAGCCGAATTTATTTCTATTTATAAATTGTCATCTTCATTGAAATATTCTCATTTCGCGCAAAGTTTTATACCGCAGCCTCCACCAGATTTCATAGGATCCGAATCTTCGTCATTGATATCTTCAGGTCTTCAAAAAGCTGACTTTCAATCTATAAATTATGGTAGAGAAATTTCATATTAACTCGACTAAACTACGAGCTAACATAAAAAGCCTCAAAATGAGTACATGGATCGCTGGCGCAAGCTTCACGGCAGAAAGTTTGATCATGAGGAAAGAGCCCGAAAAAGAGCAGCAAGAGAAGGTCACAAGGCTTCAGATGATGCACAGAAATTGACCGGTCTTCGGGCAAAATTGTACCAGAACAAAAGACGCCTCGAGAAAATACAAATGAAAAAGCAAATTAAAGCGCATGAAGAGAGAAATGTGAAGTCAGCTGCACCAAAAGAGCCTTCAAATACCCCATTACCGCAATACTTGCTTGATCGGACAAATCCTACGAACGCAAAAGCCCTCTCTAGTGCGATCAAAAACAAAAGGGCTGAAAAGGCCGCTAAATTTAGTGTGCCGCTTCCAAAAGTTCGCGGAATTGCGGAGGAGGAAATGTTCAAAGTCGTCAAGACTGGGAAAAAGACCGCCAAAAAAGGGTGGAAACGGATGATAACAAAGCCAACTTTTGTTGGACCTGACTTTACTAGGTTTGTGCTCCAAAAATCTTATGAGATACAATTCTAGGAATGGATTTACTAAAACTATATTAGACGGCCTGTCAAGTATGAACGCTTTATTCGGCCCATGGGGCTCAGATACAAAAAGGCCAATGTAACGCACCCAGAACTGGGAGTGACAGTTCAATTACCGATTATTTCGGTGAAAAAAAATCCACAAAACCAGATGTACACTCAACTAGGGGTTCTTACTAAAGGAACAATTATCGAGGTTAATGTGAGTGAACTGGGCATGGTGACAGCTGGCGGCAAGGTGGTATGGGGTCGATGGGCTCAGATAACCAACAATTGTGAAAACGATGGTTGCGTCAACGCTGTGCTTTTGATTTAGCGCAAAAGGTAGGGATTGAAGCATGGCGTTCATCGGGTTTGGAATGGGATGGGAGTTTTTTGGCTATTTCAAAAACATGTGGCCGTTTTACTTTTGTTTGACTTAGCTAGAGATCTAAGGGGGGCTCGCAGCGGAGAGAGAAAAGTATCAGTTCATCATAAATCCAGCAATTAAACCTCTCCGTATCACAACAACTCAGTGTCGTTTAAGAACATAGGAAGGCGATATAAATGGTCAAACGTAAGGGTTATCGAATCCATGACGCAAAGCGTTGAGCGACATCGAAATGCTTCGATGTTCGAAGCAGATTGAAACGGCTGCCTTTATATGTTTTGTTATTGCCTTCCACTAAGTCAAGCTTCCCCGATTTACAGCACCATCTTTTCTTGGCCTATCAGTCTTGATCAATTTAAACAGCTAAAGATGGAGACAGTATTAATCACGATAAGAGGAAGCGGCAGGAGGGCAGCTCTAATGTAGAGATGAAAGGAGTAGATTGGCTACGGGGAGAGAGTATCTGGAGGCGGACAGGGACTATATGCTAACGTGCATGTACCACATGTACTCACGCTATAGTACCTAGGGCCAGGTTGAGGCGAGGTCTTAACTGTATTCCATGTCAATCCCACTATAATGATGATGATTATATTTATCGTGCCAGGCTTACATCCTCCATCCAATGGACATGACACGCATGGAGGACATCTAGAAGACAAGTTCCTCCATTCTCCAGAAAAGCCTATCCGGTGCCTGACTTTTCCAAATATGTGTCTCACGCTAGTTACATCGGGTCGAATAGGTAGGAACGCATTCACCATAATCCTAAGACCATGTATTGGGGGAAAACCATTGTGGGAAAACCTCAATAATTCCTCCTGTACTCTTTCATGACGAGCAGCCGTAGTCCCCACTTAAACAGGCCGTGTAGGAATCCAACCTACCACTTCTAGAAAGCACATCCAACACCCTACCAACTGTGCCAACAGCCTGTTGAAAATCACATATTATTCTTCCCAAATTCTCCCCTGTATTGCGCTCAACCCCCATTTGAGAGGTCTGACTATCTTCTCTGATATGTGAGTTTGTGTGTTTGTGTTTATTGTACTACTTGAGTCTATGACTATCTAGCACATCGGGCTCCTCTCTGACCCAGGCCACACCTTGTTCAGTGCTTCTTGCCTCTTGTGTTCCTTGAAAGATCATTGGTATGTTGCCCGTAATGAATAGCCATTCAGCTCAGTGTTTACCTGTGAAATTCGGCCACCTTTTCCACGGAACCTTCTACCCAAAAAAAGTTCAAATGGTAGCGATGGAAACTGCGTGCGCGGGAAAAAGTCTCAAAGAACCTGCAGCCCCAGCCAGGCGAAGCCTAGACACCTTAACTTGTGAATTAAAAAAAAGAGGCCTGGACATCGGGACCACATGAGGTGTGCATATTCATCTATATTCCCCTTCTTTGTAACACTGGAGACCATCTTGATTCAATCCACCATCTCCGTATCGGGTGCTAGGTACACTGGGGAAACTCGTCGGATGGCTTCTGCTCCATGATTAAGGGTGAGTGATGAGAAGGGCTTCGACCCTACCATCTGATCTGATCGTGGTTAGCTTCATGATAATCGTGATAGGGGAATGTGTTGAGAGATGAAGACGATACAGACCGCGAATACGATTGGGAATCCTCATGGGAGTAAGGACCTTGTTACTCAATCTCGGCTCTGCAGACTCTACAATGAGAGTTGGAGGTTCGTAGGGGACACCACTGACAGGTATTCAGAATAGTTTCCCTATTGTCCTGTCTCATTCTGTGACTATGTAGGACATGCGGGTCTTCTCGGCCTACAGGCCAAGGATACCTATGCCAGTAGTATATCTCCTCCTATGCCTCCAAAACAGCTCCCCCCCAAAAGGTACCGCCTCTCACAAGTCTTTATTCGATCATACACTTAGATGAGCCTTTTGCCCTCTACATCTCCCCTCTCTATTCCCAAGGCATTTTATTATCGGTATTTGTTGGAATCATCGGGGTTCCAAATACAGCACTGTCGATGACTGTATTGCAATTGGTTATTCTTCTATCTAAGCTATTGTCTAGGGGTAACATTTCACCTACTCATGTAAACTAAGCTAGACAGGTCACATGACCTTCATAGCAGTACATAGATTTCATCTGTAGCTATAGGGTTCATTAGTTAACATTTACAACGTAATACCGTGTCCCACATATCTTTATTGAGAGGTTATGATCCTTGCGCTTCCTGTGGAATCACGATTTCTTCTTCCGTTGTTCTTCTGTTTACGACTCCATTCAGCAATCAGTTTCTAATACTACGGTGTCCTTGTTTTGTATCTACATCTGCGCCTCTACCTTTCAGTTTTTATCAAACAAGGTATCTCTGGCTCGCCACTCTCACATCTTGAATCTTTCATTCCTCTTTAACATGGATCCATCTAATCTTCGCGCCAACGATATGGCACTCCCTCCAGCATTGAAACTTCATGGCATTGCTAACCTGAAAGACTGGATGCTTCTCATCGAATCGACCTTGCGACAAAACGCTCTCTCAGATTGGATCGACCCAATAAAGACTGAAGCTATTTACAAGTCTGAAAAGGAAACTGGCTCTAAAGATTGGTCCAGCTCAAACGAGCTCGTCAAAATGACACTGGCAATCAACGTTGATCCGGAATTCATTTAGATTGTCATGGCCGAAAATCTAGCCTGCGACAGCTATAAAAAGCTTTGTCGCTTTCTTCAAGGAAACAGCATCGCTGCTGTTGAAACGAGTATCACCGACTTCCTCGACCTCACAGAGAACTTTGAGAAGTATTCATCCTGCCAGGCTTATATTCTGGCTCATAAATCGATGGTCTCTAGTCTTCATTCTCTCGGTACACCTCTTCCCTCTCTCGTATACTGTCTGATGTTAATCCGTGCAGTATCCATAAAATACCCTCAATGGGCATCCACCCAAAGATACCACTTCTCTGTTGCAACTTCTGTCAATCCTGCTCCTACACTTGACACTCTATATACAACTCTCCAAGACCACATTAGATTGGCTGAGAGCATAGCACCTACTCCAGTACCTCTCGCACAAGCTCATTTTACAGGTCCCAAGTTTCAGAGAAACAAGAAGTGGGATGGTCCCAACTGCCAATGGTGTACTGGTCCGCATGATGACACGAAATGCTTCTTTAAATACCCAGAACAGCGTGCCGAGTACATGAAGAGATTTCCTAGAGCCAATTATACCGAAAATAAAAAGTGGTGTTCTGAGTTTCAAAAATGTTACCCACCTAGCAAAATTTCCACTCATTACTCTGGCTTTGATGCCCGTTTTGAGAACTATGATCCATTTCGAAAGGATACCACCAACCGCGTTGAGCCAGCACTTTTTCCATCACAATCATCCTCAAGTTATACAGCTGCTAACCCATATTTTGTGGATTTTAATCCAAGTCCTTTCCAATAGGGTTGCACAGGAGTTTTGAGAACACCGTCAACTCCCACCTACAATTCTTTTGCGAAGAGTCAACAAAAGGCTATTACAGTATCCCCATCTCAGATAGAGCTACGCCAACATAAATGTAACTTTTGCAACAAAGATCATCATCTGTGCTCGACCAGCACTGGAATTAATTCCGCATTTGCTGCAGCAGTCCCGGCTGCAAGTTCTCGTGATATCTGGCTTCATGATGATAGTGCCTCAGTTCATATCACTAATGATATAAACGCGTTCTTCCGTTATCAGCCAGTATCTGGGTTGCCTATTGTTAAAACAGGGGGAAGTCCAGTTCAGCCTGTCGGGCTTGGCTATATCAAGCTTCGCGTTCTCCGGCAAGATGATTCAGTCAATGAAATTGTCCTTGAAAATGTTCTCTACATTCCTGGCTTCCCACTTAACATTTATTCTGGGTGGCTTCATGATCTTCGGGATGGATGGGATAAACATCAGGTACTATATGAAGCGGACGGTTCTGAAGTTTGCCAGCTTCTTCGTGGACAAAATTGTTTACATTTGCGCACTGCCTCTTCTCCGTATGTTCTTAATACTAATGATCCGTCTATGCGATCCTCAACCTTCCTTCTCTCTCCAGTTGCTGATAATGTCTTTCCTGCAGCAATCCATGAAGCTCCTGTCACTCTCAAACTTCTTCATTGCTGTCTAGGACACATTAGCTTTCCAAATGTCCAGCAAACAATAAAAGCAACACTTGGTCTTTCTTATAAACCTCGTAACACGGATTCCAATCTCGATATAACCACATTGTGCAATCCATGCAAATTCTCAATGCCGAAGAAAGTTATACGCCGCTATCTGCGTAATCGAGAGTCGAAGTGGGGTGATAGGTTTTACGCAGATGTCTTCTTTTGCAATCCTGTCAGTTATAATGGCCATACAGCTGGTATGATCTTCACTGATGGAAAGACAGGAGGACGTTATGGCTACACTTTCCCAGAAAAGAGAAATGCTTTCGATGCTTTGGTCACTTTTACTTGTTTCTTCCGAACTCAAAATGGTTTCCTGCCAAAATGTTCTTGTTTAGATGTTGGTAAAGAATTTGGGGGTGACAAAATGGTCGCCTGGTGTCAGCAGTATGGCATTGCAATCGAGCTTACAACAGCCTATTTTCACGAACAAGGTGGCCCTCAAGAAAGATCAAATAGGACAGTTTTAGATCCAATGCGTTGTGTCATATCGGATATGCATATCCCATTCTCTCTTTGGCCAGAGATATTTCGTGCTGTCATTTACATTCTCAATCGTATCACCACATTGGTCTATGACAATATGACTCCCTACAAAGCACAATCTCGGGCTACAGGATTAGATACCTCTGAACACAAACCTGATAATTCTGGAATCAGAGTATTAGGCTCTCGTGTACTTGTATACATACCAAACAAGCGTCAAATAAAGTCGCAGAAAATGGATGCACGCGCTGAAGAAGGTATCTTAGTAGGATTTGAAGGGAACCATATTTATTGTTGTTGG